ATAGTGACGTATTTTATCACAGCGGCAATAATTTTTATCATCTTGTTTACACGTTACTAAGAATTTTGACACTTTTTTTGATTTAACATCTGTTGTCATTTAAATTCTGTATTTGATATATATCAATAAAATAATGAATTATAAACTCTAAAAGATCGATGGGTTGGTGTAAACGATAATGAAATTAAGGTAAGTTTGAATAAATAAGGTTTATTAAAGTCTTTTTATATTTTAAAGCACATTTTAATTTTAAATGTCAATCTGACAAATTTTTTAATTCCTAAAATTCATTCAGCTCGGTTTCAATTCGAAAATATCATCGATGATAATCATACCACTTGTTATATTATGGGTGACAATAATATTATTTCCTCGCAAAAATATCTTTTTACTTTTAAGATATTAAGAAATAATGCAGCACAAAAATTCAATTTTATGATTAACATATTTTGTCACTTTATCACAGAAAATGCTACATGTGTATCACTGTATAATTTAAAGCCTTTCCAATGGCAAATATTGATTATAGTTTGTAGTTCACAGGGGTTAATTACTAAACTAAATCTTGCAAAAGTGTCTTCTTTCTTTAAATAGAGATTCTGTAGCACTCAGTTTTAATTTGCAAACCTTACTATGCAACTTGAATACCAAAGTTTTTTAAGGTTTTCATTTTTTAACACGTTAACTGCCATGTGTATGAAAAAGTATACACGCGAGTTGGGTCTAGTGCGCCATGTGTATGATTTTGTATACACGCACAATAAAATTATTTTAGCTACGTATATGTAAATAGAGGATGCTGAACATGGGTTTTATATGTTAGAATGATAGTCGTAGCGTGGATGTACACTGGTATTCACTTATCCGAAATTTTTATTAACAATTTTTAAGATGGCAAACCCTTCATTCAAAAATATTTATTGTCAAAAAATGAGCAAGCATAATTAAAATGTGGATGATGAAAATGGAAAAAAGAATTTAATCCATTATTAATGATTTGACAGACAATATTTGTCAATATTTTTATAAAATGTGTATGTATTTCAGTTTATACACGTGGCGCAAATGTACATTTTTGCAATCCTACGCCGCGGCGCGCCGCGTGTATGATATAGTCGCACGGGGGCAGAAGGAAAAAAAATGTGCTATTGTATTATAACACCGGTGGCATATTTTTATTAGGAATTAATTGATAAAAATCATTGTGGCCCAGCTGACCCCACTTTAAAAAAACTCACGGCAGTTAACGTGTAGGTTGTAGATTGTAGTAGATTGGGTCCCATTTAAAATTGTTAGCTTTGATTTATAAGTTGATTTGTATCATAGATTGTTTAGGTTCTCAGGATGGTGTAGAGCAGATTCCATATTCCAACTTAAATTGTAGATTGTGTTGCATTCATGTAATTATGGTTTATGTTCCCAGGTTGGTGTCCCATGGCTTCCATATTCCAATTGCCTTTTACAAATTAAAATTCAATTAACAAACAAAAAAATGTAATTAAAAATATTGTGGGCAGCCTTTAAATAAATAAAAAATATGTAGTAAAAATAAATATATACATCTAACCCTGATAAGGTTTAAATTTAAAAAAGGCCTTTAAAAATTAAAAAAAAATATTATTTGGCCTGATGGATTTTTTTTATAATGGCTCTAAGTAAAATTGGAAAACTTGGAAACAACAACTTGCTTTTGTGCAACTTGCAAACCTTCTTTCAAGTAAAAAAAATCGCAATGCAAAATTTAATTCAATTTTTTTTCCAAATATTAAAATGAAAAAAACACTAGCATTTTAAATGTACTTAAATATTTTATTACCTTAAAGAAGAACAATAGAATACCTACTTTGTACCTACCACAATTGTGTGGATTGTGGTACCTACAATGGTACTAAAGTACACTTTGTTACATTTACATTTATTAAGGTTATAAAAGCTTTTTACATTAAACCTAACAAATTTAAATTTAGTTAATAACCCTTATGAAGGCGCACCTCTTTATGCAACGTAGTAGGTCGCGCGGGGTGTCAGAGACACCCCTGACGGCAAAGCGTCCCTGAGTGTTATTTACATTTTTTTTTTGATTTTTTTTTAAGGTTATCAAGTTAAGATGAGCTGAGAGACAATGAGAACATATTTCGTTGCGTTCAAATTTGATAAAAGATGACAAAAAAAAAGAAAAAGTCAAAAGACGACAATTTTAATCAAATAAAGCATTTATTTAAAAAAAACAAATTTTAAAAGTCATAATAATAATAAAAACAAAAAAACACTAAGCACTTAAGATAAGGTTTACTTTTACAAGTAATTATGATTTGGTAAAAAAAAGTCAATAGGGAGGCGAAACCCAGCCTGCTCACGGGGTGTCCACAGCACCCAGAGCCTGTTTAAAACAAAATACCAGACAACCTATTACATTAACTTCAAAATCGGCAATGTAATATGACTGAGAATACTTTGACAGGAAGGTACTGAAAGTAAGCACCATTTATTCGAATCGAAGTGAGACCGGTAGCTATATTTAGAAAGCTGGGGTGTTTTGTACACCCCGCGTGCCTGCTTAAGGGTTAAAATAAATGTAACTATAGTTATAAGGTTATGTAGATTTAGAATAAAAGTGACTATTATTATATTATAATAATTAGTTAAACCTTGGTTAAAAACTAATATTTGAAACAAAACAAAGCGAATTACTACTTGGCTGAAAAATCGACAACTTTAAATATTAGTAGTACCTACCTACAAAGTTAAACATATATAAAATATCAAACACAACCCAAGTTGCATAAAACTTGGAAACATTTAAAAAACCTACATAAAAATATACAAATGTTAAAAAACGCAAATCATAAACCGAACTTGCTTTGACAGTTAAACATGTGTTTTACTTTTACGACATTGCAGAGTTCCGGAAAAGTGGTACGTTAAGTTTTTTTTCAATAGGTACAGGTTACTGTAATCTGTGCACAAACTGGCAACGCATCGTTCGGAAGTCTTCTTCTTCTCTGGTTTGATTGGCCTTTCCCTTCCGGGATTTAGCCAGCTGTATTTTATTATTATTATACTGGAAAAAGCGAGTCTAGGATAACCTATAGCTTCTCCTTTTCTTCTTGGTTTTATAGTTTATTAATTATTATTATTTATGTCACTTTTAGATTCTTTTTTCACGTATAGTCTTTTTATTCACTTATGTCCATCACTATCATTTTTGTCTTTTTTAGAGTTTATTCAATAAAGCTTATATCAGCAGCGGAAGTCACTTTTATTACACTTTTACACATACAAAATCACGATATTAGCAGCGGAAGTTACGAGGCAAAAAAAATTAAAAAAAAAACCGACTAGGCACCACATGGCTGTTTGCAGAAATATATTCAGTCCTTCAATATAACGATCATCCTTTGTGGAAATCCCTTGCATCTTTACCAATCTATTGTAGATTTTGTGGATTCAACAACTATCAACTTATTTATGGCATTAATAAATTTTATGCGTTGAGTTTCATATTATCCACTCAAGGATAGCCGATCCATCTACTTCAGCAGATAACACAAAACTGATCGTTCGGAAGTCATGTTTCCAATTGACCATATGCAAGGAATGCGGTCGATGTTGCCAATGGTAAAAAAATAAAATTCCCTATTGGGAACATTCAATTATATTACGTTGGCTACACTGAAATTTTGAATTTCCCGCACAAACTGACATACATTCTAGTAGTTCCCAGAGATAAAGAAGGTAGTTCCAATGTTGTATAACAAATTAAGGTGCGAATTTCAAATGTGGGAATTATTATTATTTATTATTATTAAAAAAAAAAGATGTAAATTAATTTAGTTTGTGCGGGAAATTCAAATTTTCAATGTAGCCAACGTAATATAATTGAATGTTCCCAAAAGGGAATTTTATTTTTTTACCATTGGCAACATCGACCGCATTCCTTGCATATGGTCAATTCCGCCGCTTAAGTTTCACCCCCCTGCTCAAAATGTTTCCAACTGACAATGACAGTTGCTGTTTAATCCCAATTTTATTAAGGTAGTATTTCCATTTAAAGAGTTTCTATAGAATGTCCTTAAAATTTAATAGGCATCAGACATGTTCACAAATTATTTTAGATTTTATTACTGCACATATTTCAAGAAAATATTTATGTCATCGCACGAGCTCGCTCATGAGATTTCCATTAAAAATAAAATATAAAAATCAATTTTGAAGTTATCAACATGATCCTATTTTCCAGTGTTATTATCCATAGATTCTTTCAAAAATTCGTTTTAAAACCCGAGCAACCATAGAACATCATGGTGATGGTGATTGTATGTAAATTTAGAAAACAATTTTTGAGCACTTTAATTGTCATTTCAAATTTTATGCTGCCAACTTAAGAAACATAAAAATAGGAGTCTTAAACCTTTATTTTGCCATTATGACAACAAAATAACAAGTTATATTCAGGCCAATTTAATAACAGAAGTCGTTAACGTTAGCCACTAGAATTAGCGGTTATCGTTATATTTATTCCGCCTAATTGGCCGATAACCACTGATTCAGGTGGCTAACGTTGACGACTAATGTTAGTGAATTGGCCTGGATGTTACTTATTTACTTTTTGTGTTTTTAGTTTTTATTTAATCAAAATACGTTTTATTTTTACTAAATTTGGATTTGCTGTTTTATTTATTTATCAAACTCTTCAAATAAAGATACTACCTTAAGGATGATTTTCGTTTACCAAACTTTCGTGACGAAAGTTTCCTCTGACTTGCTTCAACTTGGGAAGCGACTGCTTGTCGTTAGATTCTCATGCACTTAATCCTAATAATGACACAGGACTGGCTCTAAATTTACTTTAAAAGGCGGTATCTCTTACATCTATACAACCATCGTTTTTTCTTTGTTTAAAAATAATAAAACAACTCATAGGTTACCTTACAAAAATAGTTACACAGGCTCTTATTGGTCAATTAAAACTTTTATGACAATTTTTTTTTATTTTTTAGTTTATACAACCATGTTAAACCCGCAAGCGAACTCCGGCAGGGTACCGATTATTCCCTTTTTAAACAAGGGATAAAGCCCATGTGGGAAGATGGTGCTAACAAAAGAGGTGGAAGATGGCTAATCAGTTTAGACAAGAAACAAAGAAACAATGAACTTGATAGATATTGGTTAGACATTGTGAGTATTCTATATGCTCCATTCTTTACTTTACTTCTAAATCTTAAAGCTACCATTAATATAATTTTTATTTAACTGTTGGGTTGAATTTCACAGCCAAGGTATTTTCCTGTAGCCAAATTATAGTAAAAGTTGGTGTTTAATAAAAGATTGGCGATAAAATTAAAACTGCTAATAAAATATAAGACTCTAAAACATTCTTCCAAAGTTTTTTGTAATGTAACAATTAAAGTAGTAATATACCTATTTCAATAAAAAAATTTCATACAATAATTTAACAATCAACCTGTTCTTTGTAGTAATAAAAAGTTATTTATATTTTATGGAATTCTTTTTTTAGATTTTGTGCTTGATTGGTGAAGCATTTGAACACTCTGATGAAGTATGCGGAGCTGTAGTTAATATTAGGCAGAAAGGAGATAAAATTGGTAGAGTATTTGTTTAAATAATCTGTGAGTTTTTTATTAATGTTTAATTTAGGTGTGTGGACATCAGATGCATCAAACAGCGCTGCAGTAGTTGAGATTGGAAAGAAGTTAAAGGAAAGATTGAATATTCCACCCCGAACTACATTAGGATATGAAATTCACAAAGATACAATAGACAAGACTGGATCTGTCTCAAAATATTCCTACACTGTTTAAAGGGCCATTGTCCAAATTTAGCTCAGATTTTCTATCGTTTTTTTCATTATAATGTAACTGTATCTATTGTATTTTGTAACTTCCCTAGTATTGGTATTTGAGTTTGAATGATTTATTACACTAGTTTTGGAAATTATTTATTGTTTCTTTTTTTTTTGAAGAATGTATGTTTTATTCTGACCTTTTGTTATTACAGTGAGATATATTGATGCAATGAATATATTTTATAACCTTAACAGATTTTAATTACACTGTATTTATAAAAACATTTATCTCATTATTAACCTTTCTTCAACTTCCAATTGGTGTCTTTAAAGTAAGAAGTATTTTGTATAGAAATATTTTTATTAAATTTTTTACACTTAAAGTTTCAACATTGAGTAAAGTGTGTGAAGAGACGCAAGGTGGTAGGATGATCTGTGCCAGGCGTATTATTATTAATTTACAAGAAAATGTGTCCGTAAGGTGTCGCCATCTACCCACCAATGTTCCAAGCTTGAAAATATGATAAAATAAGGGGTATTTGTTTGAAATTCCGATCTCCCACGCAAGCTTCTTACCCCTCCTTTCACTAAACTCGTCGCTTAGCAACGAGACGACAACACAATTTTTTATTTGCAGTCATAATATTATTTGTGTCTGGATTTAGTGGAGTTTGTTATTTCATTATTGAGTAAAGTAAGTAACCAAAAGAATTTATTTATTTATTTACAATTCCTAGTGCTGTTCTGAGAGGTAATTTCTATTCTATTTCATTATATAATTATTATTACTAATAATAATTATTAATTAACTATCTACCCACTTTATCTAATTATTATTTATAATAATTAATAATTATAATTATTAATTAATTATCTACCCAATTATTATTTAATTATCATTTAAAAGTAAAATTCTATTTAAAAAAAATATGCCTCTGAAACGTGTGAAATTTATTTATTTTTAATTAAAAATGTATACATTATATATATGTATGTATACATAGAGGCATATTTTTTTAAAATAGAATTTTACTTTTAAATGATAATTAAATAATAATTGGGTAGATAATTAATTAATAATTATTATTATTAATTATTATAAATATTAATTAGATAAAGTTGGTAGATAGTTAATTAATAATTATTATTAGTAATAATAATAATAATTTTTATCAAAAAAATTACTTTTTAAACCATGCAAGCTGGATTTTTAAATTTCTCTTTCAATAAAGTTTTTATACGAAAACACCCTGGACATACATAATATTATATTTATACATTTATACCACAATTAAAATATCAAATAGGGTACCACTTACATACATATTATGTATGTAAGTGGTACCCTATTTGATATTTTAATTGTGGTATGTATAAATATAATATTATGTATGTCCAGGGTGTTTTCGTATAAAAACTTTATTCAAGGAGAAATTTAAAAATCCAGCTTGCATGGTTTAAAAAGTAATTTTTCTGATAAAAATTAAAAAACAAGAAAGCATTGATAAAATTGATGTATTTAATTGGTATTTGATATTTTTAATATTGATAATTTTTGTTATTTTAATTGCCATTAAAAATAAATCTATGTATGTACAGTGTGTTTTCGTATAAATGGGACACTCCTCTAAAATCTTTATTTGAAAATATTATTATATTGTATCACATATATTAAATTAAAAATATTATATTAAAAAAATAAAAAATTTAGCTGCATGGTCAAAAAAGTGATTTTATGAAAATTTTTTGACAAAAATTAAAAAACAAAAAAGCATTGGTAAAATTGATGTATTTAATTGGTATTTGATATTTTAATTGACATTAAAAATATATTTATGTACAGGGTGTTTTCGTATAAATGGGACACTTCTTTAAAATCTTTATTTGAAAATAAATTAAAAAATTAAAAAATCTAGCTTGCATTGTTTGAAAAAATAATTTTATGAAAAATTTTTGACAAAAATTAAAAAACAAAAAAACATCGGTAAAATTGATGAAATACATATGTAGATATAACATTGATTTTTCCAATGAAACACCCTGTATATTTTTGAACATTTAGATAGAGTTTTTTATTATAATTTCAAATACACATATATATAATTTGTAGGTATATGTTTGAATTAAAAAAAATCTGCAAAAATAACACTTACAATTTCATAAATTACCTATCTTAAAAAAAAACCCTCAGGGACACGTGTTTCTTCTGATCAATTAACTTCAAAATTTTACAAAATTTCTTTTTAATTTAGAATTGATCTAGTGGTAGCCCAATTGAATTGTTTTTCAAAAATATACAGGGTGTTTCATTAAAAAAACAATGCCGATGCTATTTTATTAAATTTACCGATGCTTTTTTGTTTTTGAATTTTTGTCAAAAAAATTACTTTTTTAAACAATGCATCTGGATTTTAAATTTTTTCGATATTCTAATAAAGATTTCATAGGAGTGTCCCATTTATAAGAAAACACCCTTTACATTTAAAAAAAAAGTTTTTTTTAACAAATATTTATAAATATGTATGTATACATACATATTTTCGTAAAAAAAAAACAACAAAAATAAGTTAAATTACACTGTGCGACAATTTTCGGGTCATCGAAATCAAACCGCACCGGACCATTTTTTTCTGAAAATATACCTATCCAATAGCAAAACCCTCGCTGGGTTTGTAAAAGTTAGCTCGAATTTTTTTTTTATGGCCGTTTGTATTTTCGAGCTTCATATACCCCAATTTAGACCTATAAATCGATTTTTTTCGCATACATTCGATTTATATCGTCAAGATTTTTTGTAGCAATGTAGATACTGCACAAATAAACCCATTTTGTGAACAACCTTTATCCCAAAAACCCAATTTTTGGGAACAAATATTCGAATATAATTTTTTTTTAAATTTTTTGATAATATTTAAAATTTCTTGCTACTTCTTCTGGCAAAAATGTTGTAAAGTATACTAAAAGAAGTAATTTATAAAATACGTAAACAAAACTGAATTTTAAGTTTGCTTATTTGCTGGAAAATAATGTTTAAACAAGATTTTCCAAAATATTCATCTTTTCACACTCAACACCAAATATTTTGCCGAAAAATCTGTAGGAAAAAATTGAATAGATAAAATAGAATTGTAGAAAAGTACAGAGAGTTTGATTTTTTATTTTGTATTAATTTTATTATTAAAAAACTTTTTTATATCAAAACATTGAGTAATCTGATTCATTGCTGAAGAATTCCATCCCTTCCACTTCTTCTCCTTTATTTCCTTGCTCTTCATTTTCGTTTTTTGATTCAACACTAGAGAATTGCATCCCTTCCACTTCTTCTTCTTTATTTTCTTGTTCTTCATTTTCATTTTCTTCCTGATCGTAGTCAAAAATATGTTTACTTTAGCAAAATGTTTCGGCTAGTATGGCATCTGGAGGTCGTTTTCCTCTTTATCTGGACTCAAATGGCATCGCAGTTTGATGATTGTGTCGATAACTGTCGACTAAAGTAGTCGAAATGGCGATGAGGGAAATGAATTTTTAGCGACATATTGATTCCAATTTTGGAAAAAAAACATCCAACATTTGTCCCACAGATCCTTCATAATTGGGAGAACGATGTTTGCCTAAAAGTCCAAGGATGATTTCTCTTATCGACGCCCACGAAACTCATTGTCAACCAAGGCCCTGTCAAAGTCTTCATACTTTACCAATTTCCGAATATCAGCCTGAAATGAAATGAATATAAAAAATATATGAAATGAAGCGATGGAATTCTCCAGTGAAGAATGAAAATGAAGAACAAGAAAATAAAGGAGAAGAAGTGGAAGGTATGGAATTCTCCAGAAATGAATCAGATTACTCAATGTTTTGATATAGAAAAGTTTTTTAATAATAAAATTAATACAAAATAAAAAATCAAACTCTCTGTACTTTTCTACAATTCTATTTTATCTATTCAAGTTTTTTCTACAGATTTTCAAAGATTTCGGAAAAAAATTTGGTGTTGAGTATGAAAAGATGAATATTTTGGAAAATCTTGTTTAAAAATTGTTTTCAAGCAAATAAGTAAACTTAAAGTTTAGTTTTGTGTGCGTATTTTATAAATTACTTCTTTTAGTATACTTTACAACATTTTTATCAGAAGAAGTAGCAAGAAATTTTAAATATTATCGAAAAATTTAAAAAAAAAATATTTTTCGAATATTTTGGGATATAGGTTGTTCACAAAATGGGTTTATTTGTTCAGTAACTACATTTCTACAAAAAATCTTGACGATATAAATCGAATAAATGCGAAAAAAATCGATTAATAAGTCTAAATTGGGGTATATGAAGCTAGAAAATACAAACGGCCATAAAAAAATAAATCGAGCTAACTTTTACAAACCCAGCGAGGGTTTTGCTATTGGATAGGTATATTTTCAGAAAAAAATAGTCCGGTGCGGTTTGATTTTTGGTGTTGCACAGTGTTATCAATATACATTTTTGTTTTAAAATACTTTTAAGAAATAATATACCTACATTATTTATCACAGCATTTATATACATATACATATACTATAGTAGGGTGGTTCTTATTTGGCCGATATCGAAATTTTAATCGTGCCGCCCCCTCATTTGTTTTTAAAAAATATTAAACTTAAATTAATGAACATTTCTAATTTTTTGAGGAAATGAAGGGAAAATATGGTACTTTTAAACAATTATGCATTAAATGAAAATTATCACTGATATTTTGTTTATTATGCCATTTTCAATAAAAATACAATAATAGTAATAATTGAATGAAGTAAAAAAGACCTTACTATGGACATAAATGAATTCTTTTTTTTTGTTTAAAAGTACCATATTATCCTTTCATTTCCTCAAAAAATTAGAATTGTTAATTAATTATTAATGATTTTATAAAATTATTGCGTTTTAAAGCAAAAATCCCCTATATGAATTACTGTAAGTAATAATCGAGCAAAGTAAAAAAGACCTTAGGAAGAAAATACATGATTTCTTTTATTTATTATTTTAAAGAAGTTGGAAAATGACCTCTTAGAACCGTGCATTATTTATTTATATACAAAATTTCCATGTATATTTTGATTAATTTATTGTTTTTAGATGGAATCTTTGAAAAAATTAATAGTAAGTGTTGTAATATTTAATATACTTAATTATTTTTATTTATTATATTTAATAACGCTTTACTTATTTTAGGAACAATTAAACAAGGACATTAAGGAAGTAAGTACTTAATAATATAAAATATATTGAAAGAAATATATTAACACACTATAGGT